CTGTCTGTCAAATAATTATTATCTAAATCACACTTGCAAATAAAGATGTCTCATAAATTTTAATTCTCTTTGTTAAAAATTTTAATTTGAATCAGCTGATTATAGAAAGCAGCTGTAAACCCTGGTGCATATTTGAATGGAATTAGCAAACTTGTTCATGAAGCAATAATCTACCTGCCCGTGGGGGACAGTTCAAAATCGTCCCAAGTCCCTAGTGTGTATTTTAGTTCATCTAAATTCTCTCAACACATCTGTACTTATTTACTTTATATCTAACAGCTTAACAAGGGTCACATGTGAGCAATTGCATGTATTAACATGACTCAATGAGGAAACGTCTTTGCAATCAACATCGCCACAGCCACATGCCTTGGGGGAAAAGTGATATAATATTAAACTCATCAAAAATAATTATAAGTTTATTGGATTGGTTCTTTAAAACTGCCACATTCTGAATATTAACAATTCACATTTAAATACCTTTAAATTGCATACTGTGGTACATACTTTTATTATGTTTTATTGTCTTTTATATGTTAGTACTAGCTAAAATTACATGGTATTGCCCCGGGGTATGGAAAGTCATTACACAGCAAGTGCTTGTTTGATAAAGATTATTCCACAAACTAAGATATTGACTGACACACAGTGCAGATAAAATGTGTAGTGTACTTCCTTTTTAAATGCAGTTATAAAAAAAATTATGTTAGCATATTTCCATATGGCAGGACTGATTTTATAAGAACCCTGTGTCAAAATGGAATCCCTCAAAATTTTGTTCATAAAATGTTGATTTAATTTTACCAAATTACAACTACTAATTGTTGTACAATTTCTTGTTTCGTCATTGACTACCAGTTAATATACACAAATAGTTGAGTCACAGCAAATCTTTTGGTCATCGGCTTGGAGGGCATACTACTCCCCTGCATAGCTGTTATTCACTATCTCAAGTTTGTGAGTCTCTTATTGTGATGCCACTAGATAATCCACAAACTCCTTATTCATAATTTAGAAACCGGTTTCATAAATACTTCTATGAATTATGGGATGTTCATTTGATTACTTACTCAACACACTCTGTTTTTAGGAGTGCTCAGAAACCTAATTTTGCATCATTTAATAACATAATTTATTAACAAATGTCATTTATGTCAATGCGTATGCTGTTACAGTGATAGAGCAAATATGATAATATGATACTAGATTTACTCATGGTAATTTGCATATTTGTGATGTCAGGTGATCAGAATATACTACATGTGTATTTGGTATTTGTAGGTAACGATCGAACTCAGTAGCTATGCTCTCTGCATATTTTAACTTTTCTTACGATCTCAAACACTTTAAACAATTTAATTTTACGTGTTGTCTAAAATTGTATTAGAAATGCTTGCATGTATGTCTTTAAACACCACATCAACATAAATAATACTTTTATTAGTAACAAACAAAAACAGAATTGTAATTTCTTTATTACTGTAATAAAGATTAGTATTATTTTTATAGTGTGTGTAGCATGTCGGGAATTCGGTCGAAATGTCCAGGGATACTGTCATTTGAGTCTAGTCGTAGCTATTGTGCACGGTTGGTCATTCTTGGCAATCAAAGCAGAATCATCATGGTTTTAGTAACATGAAACTATATGGCAATGGGACAGGTCAAATATGACCATGACTACCGGTAGTCACTCTGGTCTAGAACAAGTTTTCAGCAAAAATAAAAATTTAGGAAAATATAATTTTTGATATGTCCTGTTCAGAATTCAACAGCTATACAGTTTGATTAGGCTTTACAATACCGGTATTGGTGAATACTTTCTGTTTAATTCTGCATATCATTATGTGTGTGGCAGCTTTCAGAGCCCCCTGTGGATATGGTCTGCGTGAGTTTCAACCCCTGTGTTATTAGTAATAAAGGTCTTTCAAGATGTGTAATCAGCAATTAAAATTTGCATAAAGCAAGTATTGTAAATCTATTTGAAAACTCTTGATATGCAGGTTTGGTTACTAGGGAAAAAAGTGGGTGGATATAGGGAGAAAAAAACAAATTTTGTAATTTTTAGTCCCCGTTCGGGCGCAGTCTGAAAACGGGGACTTATGTTTTGACCTCCGTGTGTTCGTGCGTGCGTCTGTGCGTGCGTCAAGACCTGTATCTTAGAAATGCCTGGACCAATCACAATCAAACTTCACACATACATCATACATTTATGGATGGATTTCGTTCAAACTTGGTACATACATTAGACATTCTGGGTTTCTGATGCACGTCATTTTATTTTTCAGATTGGATTGAAAATGGCTGACTGGCAGCCATTTTGTTTTAATGATTGGGCTTCTAGAGCCATATCTCTTAAATGCTTTGACTGATTATATTCAAATTTTATATATTCGTTTTACATCATGTTATATATATATATATATGTATTCAAAAAGGCTGATTTTGAATGCTGTTTCAGAGCAATGTCTCTCAATATGGACAAGTACTTGTTTGACGATCAGATACAAATGTCAATCATTTTAATGTTAAAAAATCATATTCCTGACATGGTTATATTCCAGCTATATTACTATAAACAAAACTATATATCTTAAATTTGATAACTAATGGGGACTGTGCCGTGCATGGCTTGTTTTTTTTCTATCAAAATTGAATTTACTCCAACTCCCTGTGGGAATGCAAATGGTAATTTCCAAATTATAGTGTTTTTTTTTTGGGGGGGGGGGTGATTAGCATATTGTAGTTGGGGGGGTTAGCATGGTGATTAGCATATTATAGTTCAAGGGTTGAGATTAGCATGGTGATTAGCATATTATAGTTCAAAGGTTGGGGGTTAGCATGGTGATTAGCATATTATAGTTCAAGGGAAGTGGGTTAGCATGGTGATTAGCATATTATAGTTCAAGGAATGGGGGTTAGCATGATGATTAGCATATTATAGTTCAAGGGTTGGGGTAGCATGGTGATTAGCATATTATAGTTCAAGGAATGGGGGTTAGCATGATGATTAGCATATTATAGTTCAAGGGTTGGGGGTTAGCATGGTGATTAGCATATTATAGTTCAAGG